CCCCCCCCCCCCCCCCCCCCCCCCCCCCCCCCCCCCCCCCTGGGGTTTCGCCCTGATAACAGGGGGGGGACCCCCCCCCCCCCCGGGGGTGACTTCAGCCTGATACACACAGTGGTCGGGACTTCAGCCCTAATAACACGGGGTCGGTATTCAGCCTGATTCGTCACAGAGTCGGGGACTTCAGCCATGATACGTCACAGGGCCCCGGTGACTTCAGCCATGATACAAAAACAGTGTCGGTGATTTCAGCCTGTACCAAAAGTGGCATGATTCACCCTATACACACAGTGGTCGGTGACTAGCCATGTTTTTCACAGTGGTCGGTGACTTCACCCTGGTACCCATGGTCGGTGACTTCACCCTGAACACATAGTGGTCGGTGACTTCAGCCCTGATACCAAGTGGTCGGTGACTTCTGCCCTGATACACACAGGGGTTTGGGTGCTTCTCCCCCTGATGACATAGTCGGTGATTCAGCCTGATAGTCAGTGGTCGGTGATTTCAGCCGATACCCAGTGGTCGGTGACTTCACCCCTGATACACACAGTGGTCGGTGATTTCGCCTGATAGTCACAGTGGTCTTTGATTCAGCATGTTGTCACAGTGGTCGGTGCTTGAGCCGATCGTCACAGTGGTCGGTGACTTGGCCATGTCGTCACGTGGTGGGTGACTTCGCCAGAACGTCACAGGGGCCCGGTGTCTTCAGCCATGATAACGTCCAGTGTCGGTGTTTACCCCTGTTTCACACAGGGTGGGTACTTACCCCTGATACACCAGTGGTCGGTGTTCACCGGGTACACACATGGTCGGTGACTTGGCCATGTTTCACACAGGGGCCCGGTGACTTCACCCCGATACTAGGGTCGGTGACTTCCCCCAGATACACCGGTGGCGGTGACTTCAGCCCTGATACACACAAGTTGTGTTGATACTATGAGAACCACTCTTACACCTCACGTACCGTCGCACCTCACGTACCGTCACACCTTACGTACCGTCATACCTCACGTACCGTCACACCTCACGTACCGTTATACCTCACGTACCGTCACACCTCACGTACCGTCATACCTCACGTACCGTCATTCGCTGTTTCCTTTCTGCCAGGTATTCTCTGATCCATTGTAGTGCCTGTTCTGTTATACCTGCCTGCTCCTCTAGCTTTTGCGGAACTGTGTCTAAAGCCTTTATACAGTCCAAGAAAATACGGTCTATCCGCCTCTGTCTGTCTGTCTGTCTGTCTGTCTCTGTCTGTCTCTGTCTCTGTCTCTGTCTCTGTCTCTGTCTCTGTCTCTCTCTCTCTCTCTCTCTCTCTCTCTCTCTCTCTCTCTCTCTCTCTATCTATCTATCTATCTATCTATCTATCTATCTATCTATCTATGTATCTCTCTATCTGTCTATCGATCTATCTATCTATCTATCTATCTATCTATCTATCTATCTATCTATCTATCTATCTGCTATCTTACTCCTTTCAGTGTCGTAAAACTCCAGTAGGATTGTGACACGGGATTTCCACTCCCTGAAACCGTGCTGGTTATCGTGTATAGGTATCGTGTATCTTGTATCCTTTCTAGCTGCTCCACCAGTGACACTGCTCTGTAGTTTAATACTACCTGCCTATCTCGTTTCCACACCTCAGGTAGTCGCCCTGTTTCGATAAATGTGTTGAAGATTGTTGTTAATGACGTACACAGTGTCTCTGCTCCCTCTCTCAGGACCAACGGAGAGATGTTTCCCAGTCCCCCCGCCTTTGAGGTATCTACCTCACCTCATATGTAGTGTGTCCAGTACTTGGAAATAAATGGTATAAAATACCGACACAATGGCAATATAAACACAAATGCAGTATAATGTGATCCTTTATTGACTACGTTTCGCCCACACAGTGGGCTTTTTCAAGTCACAAACAGAACTACCTGGGGTGGAAGGAACGCGAGTATTTATAGTCCGGCTGAGGTCAGGTGAAGAATGCTGCATCTGATGATGTACCGAGTTGGGTTGTAGAGTCTAAAAAAATTGGGTAGCTTGGAAAGGAGACTGGACAAGTTTGTGAGCAGACCTTCTACAGTGTTCTTATGTGGGATAGCGATGAAGAAGTTTCTTGGCAAGTGGTTCAGCTATGTTATAGAAGCCACTATTCTGGTTGAAGTTGTCGGATATAGAAATAAGTGATGATTCCAGGATTCTTCGGTATTGAGTGTTGTCTTCTGTGGCGATAAGTCTTGAGTTTCTGTAGTTTATCAAGTGGTTGTGTGAATTACGGTGTTGTACGCAGGCATTCCTTGTGTCGTCAGACCTGCTTGCGTATTGGTGTTCTGAAATACGTGTTTGGAGGTCCCTTGATGTTTCGCCCACGTATAACTTGTTGCAGTCATTACAAGGGATTATGTATACCCCTGCAGAGGATGGAGGCTTGTCCTGCCTACTATGGTGATGTCCTTGATGGTCGTGGTTGTGGAGGTAGATACTTGGAATGATTTTTGGCAAAGATGTTGGAAACATGTTTGGCAATGGAGTTGGTGGGAAGGACTATGTATCTCTTCTCGGCAGTGTCTTCTCTGGGTGTGTTGAAGATGTTTAGTGCTCGCCGTCTGCAGTCTCTGATGAAGTGACGAGGATAGTGGAGTTTGGAAAATACCTGTTCAATTATAGTGCATTCTTCCTCAAGGAACTCGTTGCTGCAGATTCTGAGTGCACGCAGGAAGAAGCCTATAATTACACCACGTTTGGTTTTGGTGTCGTGGTGAGAGTAGAAGTGGAGAAGATCGTTTTGGTTGGTGGGTTTTCGATAGACTTTAAAACGAAGTTCGTGGTCAGCTTTGCAGAGTAGAACATCAAGGAAAGGAAGAGTGTTGTCGACCTCTTCTTCAAGTGTGAACTGGATTGAAGGCTCGACCTGGTTGAGCTTGTCTTGGAGAGCTTGAACGTTGAAGCGTTTAGGAGTTATGAGGAGAATGTCGTCAACATAACGGAGCCAGGTGACAGACGAAGGAATAATGGTGGAGAAACGTTCGGCTTCTAGATGTTCCATGTATAGGTTCGCTAGGACTGCACTGAGTGGCGAACCCATGGGTAGTCCAAAAGTCTGCTGAAAGAGGTGATTTTCAAAAGAGAAACACGTAAAGCCAACACATAGTTCAACCAGCTTTCCAAGCTACCCAAGTTTTTAGACTCTACAACCCAACTCGGTACATCATCAGATGCAGCATTCTTCACCTGACCTCAGCCGGACTATAAATACTCGCGTTCCTTCCACCCCAGGTAGTTCTGTTTGTGACTTGAAAAAGCCCACTGTGTGGGCGAAACGTAGTCAATAAAGGATCACATTATACTGCATTTGTGTTTATATGTGTCCAGTACTTGCTGGTGTACACTTCTATCTCGGTTTGCTGGAGTCCTTTCTGTTCCCACTGAATATACTTCCTTAAATATCGTGTTCAGATCTTCACGTGCTTTTTTGTCTTTTCTTGTGTTGAGAGAAACAAATTTTGATGTCGCTTGAAGGAGCAAATGATCTTTTGGCGCCTAAATGTCACTGTAAAACTACAAGGTTCAGCTTACAAACGAAGGAAACTAGGTTTGCACCCGAGACTGGGCAGGACATATGGGCAGGTTCTCTAATGCCTGCCTCTGGAAAAAGGCAGTTTGGTACCCAGATGCTTCATGACTCTCACAGGAGAGGACCCAACTGGAAATAAGCTATAGTACTTAGTTTTATGGGTTATCCAAGTCAGTAATCTTTCTGGGTTAATAACTATCCTTGATTAATATCCCTCCTGGCTTAACAACAGTCCTTGCTTAAAAAGAAAACCTCTTGGACTAGTATCTCTAAGGACGTGTTCTCGATCAGTCCAGTACCTGAGGTGCGCTGGTGGCGAGAGAGTCGAGCAGACGTGGAGAGCGACAAGCTGGAACACTTCGGCAAGACGCTGGTGCTGGAAGACCTCACAGAGGCACACACAGGCGCCTACTACTGCCAAGCTACTAACGAGGCAGGACAGAGCGAGATACAGCACTTCACTGTCTCCGTGGAATGTAGGTAACACTGTCCTGGAGCCGCTGTATGTGTGTGTGTGTGTGTGTGTGTGTGTGTGTGTGTGTGTGTGTGTGTGTGTGTGTGTGTGTGTGTGTGTGTGTGTGTGTGTGTGTGTTCACCCCTGACCTTCCATGAAGGGGACACACTGGCACACTGGCACACTGGCACACTAGCAAAACTGGCACACTGGCACACTGGCACACTGAGCCACCTTCATGGTTGCTAGTTTATTGTTAAAGTTTTCTCACCCCTACGTTTAATTACTATCAGTTTTACTGTCATACAAGAAATATGTATGTATGTATGTGCTCAATAATAACCTACACACATGTAAATATATATACATATTATATATTATTATATATATATATATATATATATATATATATATATATATATATATATATATAAAATATATATATATATATATATATATGTCGTGCCGAATAGGTAAAACTGGTCAATTAGCAAGAACTCATTTAAAATTAAGTCCTTCCTAAAATTTTCTCTTATACGTTCAAAGATTTTTTTTTCAGTTATATTTATGTAAAAATTAATAATTTTGTACCAATAGAACCATAGAAAACTTATGTAACCTTATTATAACAATTTACTTTAGCCTAATCCAACTAAATATATTTTAGATAAGCTTACAATAATTTAATAATAAACAGACACAGTGAACTATATTTTTTTCGTTACGTTCAGAATTATTTTTGCGAAATTATTGCATCCCCAATTTTCGCATGCCTTATTCGGCAAGAAGAACATTTCTATTTAAGCCAAAATCTCAAGTTTTGCCTATTCGGCACGACATATATATATTATATATTTTATATATATATATATATAATATATTATATATATATATATATATATATATATATATATATATATATATATATAAAGAGACACATACCCAACAGTATATATACATATTCTATTTGTTATATTATAAATGTTATATATTATCAAATAATTTTATGGTAATGAATATATTATAAACCATTGGACGATGTTTGTTGATACAGCTGCGCCAGAGATGGTGTTGGAGCCAGAGGTGATCAACCTGCCTCAGGGTGAGACAGCTGTCTTCAACTGTGAAGCAGCTGGTGACCCTGAACCATCTATCACCTGGACCAAGAATGGTGAACCCATGGACACTCACGACACCACGGTGGGTACTCTGTTTACACCACGGTGGGTACACTGTCTACACAACAGTGGGTACACTGTCTACACCACGGTAGATACACTGTCTACAACACAATGGGTACATTGTCTACACCACGGTGCATACACAGTCTACACAACAGTGGGTACACTGTCTACACTACGGTAGATGCACTGTCTATATCACCGTGGGTACACTGTCTACACCACGGTAGATACACTGTCTACGCCACCGTGGGTACAGTATCTACTCAACAGTGGGTACTCTGTCTACACCACCGTGGGTACACTATCAGCACAACAGTGAGTACACTGTCTACACCACGGTAGATACACTGTCTACAACACAATGGGTACACTGTCTACACCACGGTGTATACACAGTCTACACAACAGTGGATATACTGTCTACACCACGGCGCTATGTGTACCACTAACAACAATCTTCAACACATCTGTTGAAACAGATGTGTTGGAGACACCAGATGTCGTCCCAATTTTTAAAAAGGGAGACAGACACGAAGCACTAAACTACAGACCAGTGCCACTGACATGTATAATTTGCAAATTCATGGAGAAGATTATCAGGAGAAGAGTGGTGGAGCACCTAGAGAGGAATGAGCTTACCAACGACAACCAGCACGGTTTCAGGGATGGGAAATCCTGTGTCACAAACCTACTGGAGTCCTATGACAGGGTGATAGCAGTAAGACAAGAGAGAGAGAGAGAGGGGTGGGTAGATTGCGTTTTCTTGTACTGTAAGAAGGCTTTTGACACAATTCAGCACAAGAGATTAGTGCATAAGCTGGAAGACCAGGCAAGTATAACAAAGAAGGCACTGCAATGGATCAGGGAATACCTGTCGGGAAGACATCAACGAGTCATGGAATGTGACGAGGTCTCAGAGTGGGCGCCTGTGACAAGTGGGGTTCTACAGGGGTCAGTCCTAGGATTGGTGCTGTTTCTGGTTTATATGAACGACATGATGGAAGGAATGGGCTCAGAAGTGTCCCTATTTGCAGATGATGTGAAGTTGATGAGGAGAATTCAATCGGCTGAGGACCAGGCGGAACTACAAAAGGATCTGAACAGGCTGCAGGCCTGGTCTGGAAACTGACTCCTGGAGTTCAACCCTACTATTTGCAAAGTCATGAAGATTGGGGAAGGGCAAAGAAGACCGCAGACGTAGGGGCCAGAGGGGTCTACGGGGCCTGAGACTACAATCCTCACTCAAGGAAAAGGATCGTGAGGGTGTGTATGATACCGAACACATCTCCTGAGGCGCACATCAACTAAACTGCTGCAGCATACGGGCGCCTAGCAAACCTAAGAATAGCGTTCCGACATCTCAATAATGAATCGTTCAGGACCCTGTACACCGTGTATGTCAGGCTTATATTGAAGTATGCAGCACCAGTTTGCAACCCTTACCTAGCCAAGCACGTAAGGAAATTAGAGAAGTGCAAAGGTTTGCAACAAGACTAGTCCCGGAGTTAAGGGGCATGTCCTACAAGGAGATGTTAAGGGAAATTGACCTGACGACACTGGAGGACAGGAGAGATACGGGGGATATGATAACGACATATAAAATACTGAGAGGAATTGAAAAGTTGAACAGAGACAGGATGTTCCAGAGATGGAACACAACACAAGGGGTCACAACTGGAAGTTTAAGACTGAGAAGAATCACAGAGATGTTAGGAAGTATTTCTTCAGTCATAGAGTTGTCAGAAAGTGGAACAGTCTGGGAAGTGATGTAGAGGCAGGATACATACATAGCTTTAAGAAGAGGTATAATAAAGTTCATGGAGCAGGGAGAGTGACCTAGTAGCGACCAGTGAAGAGGCGGGGCCAGGAGCTGTGACTCGACCCGTGCAATCACAACTAGGTGAGCAAGTAGATGAGTACTCACGACAGCATAGTGGGTGCACTGTCTACACCACTGGGTGCACTGTCTACACTACAGTGGGTGCACTATCTACACCACAGTGGGTGCACTGTCTACGCCACAGTGGGTGCACTGTCTACGTCACAGTGAGTATTCTGTTTAAACCACAGTAGGTACTCTGTCTACACTATCACTATAGTGGGTACATTGTCTACACCACGGTATATCTTGAGTATACCTTGAGTATACCAGGAGAGGGTTTCGAGGGCCAACGCCCCGCGGCCTGGTCTGAGACCAGGCCTAGTGATGGACTAGGGCCTGATCAACCAGGCTGTTACTGCTGGCCCCACGCAAACTGACATACGAACTACAGCCCGGCTGGTCAGGTACTGACTTCAGATGCTTGTCCAGTACCCTCTGGAAGACAACCAGGGGTCTATTGGTAATCCTCCTAATGTTTTCTGGGAGGCAGTTGAACAGTCTTGGGCCCCTGACACTTACTGTGTTGCCTCTCAGTGTACTCGTGCCACCCCTGCTTTTCATCGGGGTAATGTTGCATCTCCTGCCGAGTCTTTTGGTATCATTGGGAGTGAATTTCTTGTGCAAGTTTGGTACTAATTTCTCTAAGATCATCAAAGTGTATATTATCATGTATCTCTCTCGCCTGGGTACACTGTCTACATTACAGTGGGTACACTTTCTACACCATAGTGTGTACGCTAACGACACCACGGTGGGTATACTGTCTACATAAGAGTAGGTACACTCGCTACATCACAGTGGGTACACTCAGTACATCAGAGTGTCTACACTCACTACATCACAGTGGGTACACTCACAACATCACAGTGTGTACACTCACTACATCACAGTGGGTACACTCACTACATCACAGTTTGTACACTCGCTACATCACAGTGGGTACACTCACTCCATCACAGTGGGTACACTCACTACATCACAGTGTGTACACTCACTACATCTCAGTGTGTACACTCGCTACATCACAGTGAGTACACTCACTCCATCACAGTGGGTACACTCACTACATCACAGTGGGTACACTCACTACATCTCAGTGTGTACACTCGCTACATCACAGTGAGTACACTCACTCCATCACAGTGGGTACACTCACTACATCACAGTGGGTACACTCACTACATCTCAGTGTGTACACTCACTCCATCACAGTGTGAACATTCACTACATCACAGTGTGTACACTCAATACATCACAGTGGGTCACTCACTACATCCAGTGTGAACATTCACTACATCACAGGTGTCACTCAAAACAACACAGGGGG